CCTCCCCACACCCGACAAAAGATGAGGAGGAACCGATGCTGCCATGACAACCATCGCCATACCGTGTGATGCAGCGCGCTGGAAGTCAATGACACGCCAGCACGAAGGAAAACCCATAAATACTCTGACTTGCAGTACGCAGTACGTGGAGGACGCTTCTACGTTGGCCGTGTGCATCCCAAGTCGATATTGTCGTTCAGTTGATTTTCGACATCCACATTCGTGAGACTGCAGTACGTAATCCACTGCTTTTTCATGCTTCTATTTGGTGCAGTCTTTCCTTCAAATGAGTATAAGCTTCGCTAAAGCCGCCAGAAGTGGAATTATACCTATTGATACGAATGGCAGATCGTCTGACTGATCGAGTGTGGTTTATGCGGGTGAATTACTTGTTTATGCAATTTATGTGTTAGTTTAAAGCAAATAGAAACCGAAATCCGGTTTCAAGGTCAAGGTTTCTCTGGTCGCCCTAACAACCTGCCATTAGTAAGCATCAGGTTTAAACGAGCAATATCCTAGCCTTCACAAATTTATAACGGGATTTCAAGTAGAAGTGCAAACCCCCTACTGACTGATTCTCTGTTAACAGCTTGACGGACTTCTCCAAATTTACAAACGGATGAGTTGTTCCGCTATTTATTTCATGCAGTTGACCTGCCTACAATACTTCGTCCGATACCTTGAATACGATACAATCCTTTGAATTAATAATAGGAGTCGACAAAATATCTTCAGGAAAATGTGTAGAAAACTCGTCAACAATGGGATTCTAACTCAGGCACCGCCACGGCTTAAATAACGAGGTCGCTACCAGACTATCGGCGTAGGGTTCGCGGGCTGAAATAAACAAAAGAGCAGACGCTACTCGTAGAAAAATCCACTGCAACTCTATATATATGGCTGTCAAGTCAGCTACTGCCAAAAAGCAGGGAGTTTAATGAGCTGAATGAATGTGAAATACGAAGACGAGGCCTGTCAGACATGCCTCGGACTTCTTTAAGAACCTTTGAAAATTGGGAAGGAGATTAAGTGTCTAAAGCTGAAGGTATATAAACTGAGAAATCGCCACCACCATTTATTCAAAGAGAAGATATCGGTGACGTCGGAAATCCAGGGAGAAAACGAACATACACAAACGCGGTTTCGTCAGCTGCGTCGAACGGCGATAACGGAAATAGTGGGTCTGTTGGGCTCGATATGAATGACAACCAATGTTTAGTGCGAGAAATGAGTAACCAGACGGTATCTCAGCAAACAAAAATGTCACAGAGCACCTCGAAAAGACAGACGCTCAGATAAGGAAGCAAGAGTGGAGTGAACAGCAAACAAAAATCGTGCCGACGAAAGTGGTGAATGCTCGAGAGACCGCAGTAAGCGGAGAGTCATACGTTAGCCCTACCGAATCAAACCTTCCTAACCCAGAGAATGGCAGAAGCCGCGACATCCGTGATAAAGCATTTGCATGTAGGCTTCAATCGCAATGTCTTCGAGTTAACTGCAGTAAATGCATTGTCATAATGGCTATGCCTAAGTCTGTTTCCTACATCCCAATGGACAGGATACATCGCGACATAGAAATATTTTGCCAGTATCCCAAACCGATCTTAAGAGGAGACGAGAAAGTTGTTAAGGCGAACAAAACTATAGAAATAAACGTATTGTGCCGTCCATGACATTCAATAATACAATATCTAATGTGTTTTAGACGGCAAAGCTATTGTGGACGGTATTTTAAAAAAAATTGGGAGGTGGATTAATGTTATTTTGGGAATATGTACCAATCAATCTAGAGTTATTGACGTACGGGGAATCAGTCAGAGAAGGCTGGGCGTGAGACTTAAAAGATGTGGGGATGTAGTCTTCGAACATTGGAATGCTAATGGAGTAAGGACAGGGATAGGCTTGCTGGTAGTTAATTTGTGGAGGAGTAGGTGGACAAGGGGGTTGGGGGGAGGGTAGAGGCTAGTGGGGGTGGGTAGACAGCTATAAGAAATAAAGGGTGGGAAACCAGGTCCAGGTTGGAAGTCAAAGCAGTCAGGTTGACTTACGTGAGAGCAACTGGCCGTGAGTGGTGGGAAGTGTGAAATAGGTTGAGCTTAGTGACTTAGGATGATACACGTACAGTCTTTTTACAGGATATATAATGGGGCTTTGGTAAGCAACCGGTACGTAGGACAGAGAATTATTTGGGGACATAATTGGATCTGCGTGGTTTGTAGACGAGTTGGGCTTTAAAGGCTTGGTAGATCTAACAGAAGGCGGCATAGGCCTAAATGGAATTGTACTACCTTTCCTTTGAGCCGGATCTCGACTCATTTTTGGGATCACACCGTTCTGACACCATGCCACAGTTTATTTAAATGTAGAACTTGTTATACCCTGTTGAGGTCTGGAAGATATCAGTCCAGCTGATTACGACGAATTTTCGTGCGCCCTATGGGAAGCTATCAGGAGGATACGGGACGGTAACTGGGGCTGCTGCTAATATGGAGGCCGACGAATGTGTTAAGTGGCTTGGCTGAGAGGGAGATATAGAAGTATGGGGGAGGAGTGAGTCAGATTTCGCAGGGACAGGATTGGCTGAATCCTCACGAATACTTGTATTATGACAGAGTTGGCGAGTATTTTGTAGATAAAATGAGAACTTACGTGAGAATAAAGACCCAACTATACTCTCCATGGGGGTGAAATCATTGTTTTCAAGAAACTCTAGAGTTTGTGCCGCGTAGATATCTCAAGCCTAATTCTACAGATTCCCTTGTTTCTCATTTTATTCAGAACAGACTGAAAAAGTTGAGGCGACAGCTGCGTGACCCATCCACTAGTTCCTTATCAGTTCATCTTAGAATCACAGAGATTTTTGAGATGGCCTCAAGGATGCGTCAAGCGCGCGACAGACAAAGAGAATCAATTGCTATCAGTGATTCGAACCCTGGCAAATCCGTCCCTAACATCTTCCGTCATCGGTCCTCCTCCAAGCGTGGTCACGAACTTCCACCCCTGCTAAATGATAACAAAGTCTTCCTCACCTATGACACTGACAAGGCGGAGTTGTTTACTGCTTTCTTTGTAACCTCAAGAAAGAAATCAACAGGAAGCACAAATTGTGGAGAAAATACTGCGTCACTAGACAAGCTGAATGCTTCAACACCTACAAGACACAGAGGAACAAACTGAGGAAGCTGATAATTCAGACGCGGCGGGAATTCGAGAAGAACTTGCTACAAAAAGCAACGCAGAACCCAAAATTGCTCTACAGCTACCTCCGACGAACTACAAGGAACAGGCATCAAATCCCCCTGATAAAGACTACTGATAGCGTTGAGATCGCTGATAGTAGGGATAAAGCTGCGTATTTTTCACGGTTTTTCCAATCAGTCTACACAAACAAGGCAAGGTTCCTTCCTCCCTCCACAGAAGAACTACCGACTCCAAGCGTCAGTGATATACTCTTCTCAGAAGGCATTGTCCGAAGAGAATTTGAGGCATTGAACGAATCGAAGTCGCCAGGACCAGACGAGATTCCATCCAAGCTTCTGAAGGAACTTGCCCGTGAGCTCTCTGTGCCTTTGACGATGCTCTTTCAAACGTCATTTGACACTGGAACAATTCCTATCGATTGGAAGCTGGCGCATATTACTCCGCTACACAAAGGAGGTAACAGGGCAGCGACGACAAATTACCGGCCCATAAGCTTGACATGCATTCTCTGCAAAGTTATGGAAAGGATCATAAAGTGCGAACTAATGCAATTCCTGGAAGTTCACGGACTGCTATCGAAATGCCAACATGGGTTCCGAAAAGGAAGATCCTGCACGACAAACCTGCTGCAATCTCTGCAGAGCTGGACCCGAGCTCTCGACGACAGGCACGCGGTCCACATAGCCTTCATCGACTTCCAGAAGGCTTTCGACACTGTGCCACACCAAAGGCTCTTACATAAGCTGAAAAAAGGGATCGGTGGCAACTTCCATAAATGGATCGAAAACTTCCTTGTGGGTCGACAGCAGGTTGTGTGCGTCGGTCGGGGAAAATCAGATCCGGCTATGGTCGATAGTGGTGTCCCCCAGGTTCAGTACTGGGACCCATTTTGTTCCTTAGCTACGTGGACGATGCCGCAAGAGATTTAGACTGTGAAGTAACAATGTTTGCGGATGACATGAAGATATGGAGTGTAATTCGGGGTCCTGCTGATGAAGACAGACTGCAGATGAACCTGAATCGGTTGGAGGAGTGGTCAAACCGTTGGCTCCTGCGGTTCAACGTTGCCAAATGTAGCATACTTCGCCTAGGCAACACAGCCAGATCCGCCAGCACAAGAGGCTACTTTCTGGGCGGTGCAGCCCTACAAGAGGTCGAAGCCCAAAAGGACCTCGGTGTGCTTACGACGAGTTCCCTAAAACCATCCGCCCTCTGTTCGAGGGTGGCAAAAAGCGCAATGTCCGTACTGTACGCCATCAAGCGTGCGTTTATGGACTTTGACGAAGAAGCTTTCTCTAAGACATTCGGAAAATTCGTCCGGCCGCATTTAGAGTACGGCATACAAGCTTGGAGGCCGTGGGCTGTTGTGGATCAAAACTGCCTCGAAAGAGTCCAGAGGAGAGCCACGAAGATGGTCAGGGGTCAAAGCTCCTTTCCTTATGCAACCCGCCTAGTAAATCTGAACCTCTTTTCTTTGAATTACAGGCAACTTCGCGGAGATCTCTTGCAAGCCTTCCGCATTGTAAAGGGGTTGGATTGCAGTCTGGCCTTCGAGGACTTTTTTGAATTTGCTACCACGACCAACCTCCGAGGTCACCCGTTAAAACTGCGCACTCAGCAGGCACGGCTGGATGTGCGGAAGTTCTCCTTCTCGGTTCGGGTGGTCAAACCGTGGAATGAGCTTCCCGGAGATGTTGTGATGTCACCATCCATACAAAGTTTTAAAAAGAATCTTGACATATTTATGTTCCGAAATGACCAAGAGCGATGAGAAGTCGAGCTCACCCCCTGTAACTCCTTCTCATTTTGTCCCACCATTATGGGCGTGTTCGAACTATTTCAGCCCAGAACATCTATCTGAACACCAAACATGTTTTACGTTGCAAATAGGGTACTCAAAGGTTTACGCCTATTTCCCTCAATAAACTGAACTGAACTGAACTGAACATTGCTATCGAGTCCGATCCGGTCCCTTTCTTTCGATCACTTTCAGATAGGACACTGAGTACAATTGATGTCTCCTCAGATCTCATTAAGAAACACATAAGCCGTTTGAAATACTCACACTGCTCATGAACGGACAGGATTCCAAATTCGATTATTAAACAAGCGTCCGACTTTCCCATATTGCTCAGTCATTTATTCTCGGTTTATATTTCAAAAGGATTCTTTCCTGAAACATGGAAAACGTCAATTATCATTCCCGTTTTCAAGTCAGGATCTCGGTCCGATGTTAATAACTATCGGGGCGTGCACAAAACGCCGTCTGTAGCAAAGCTTCTTGAAAGGATTATTTTCAATGAAATTCTTGACTTCTGTCTAGCTAATCGGCTTCTGAGCTCTAGTCAGCATGGATTTTTACCTGAACGATCCTGCGAAACATGCCACTTGGCTTTTCTTAATCTAATCACTTCTCTTCGTAATGAGGGGCAATCAGTGGTAGTTATTTACTTTGATCTTAGCAAAGCCTTTGACAAGGTGCCCCATAGACGTCTTTTAGTAAAATTGGAAGCTCTCGGCATCCGGCCGCCTCTACTCGACTTCATCAGGTCCTATCTGTTCAGCCGATATCAAAAAGTCATGGTCGGTAATAGCTACTCGACACCTCACTCGATCATGAGTGGCGTATTTCAAGGTACGGCTCTGGGTCTGCTACTCTTCCTTCTGTACATCAATGATATTTCGACTGAACTCGGAAATTCGCAAACTTTTACTTATGCCGATGACCTCGAGTGTGTTTACTCATACTCGAAGGACACCGCAAACGTTTGTGCTGAAAAAATTAATGCCGATTTACTACGCTTAAGCAGATGGGGTGCGACATGGCAGATAGAGTTTTCATCATCCAAGTGTAATTTCATGTCTTTTGGTCCTACCAAACTTCCTGGTCCCACAATTTTTCAGAATAACCCACTCTCAGAATGCCTCACCATAAAGGACCTAGGTCTAAGTTATACAAATAAGCTTGCTTTTTCACCTCATGCAGATCGAATCTCTACCAAAGCCGCGCAGATATGTGGATTCATATCGCACAATTTTTTCCTTCCGGAAATGAAGCTAAGACTTTATCAAATGTTTGTTCTTTCAGTCCTCGAATACTGCTGTCCTTTCTTCGGTTTAATGAACGCCTGCGATCGTAATAAAATCGAAAATGTTCAAAGGGTTTTTACCCGGAAACTGTTATCTGAAGCTGCGTCCGGTATTTCTTATACTCAGAGATGTCAGCTGGCGAACATTAAGTTTTTGTGGGTTAGAAGACTCGAAGCTGGCCTTTGCTTCCTTTTTCGCATCAACTCTAGCTCCAGTCTTCCGCTCATTGACACTCTCACTCCGAGGGATCGGTCTTATGCCACGCGCAACTCCTGCATGGTGATTCCGCCGCCTCTTTGTACTACATCTAAGCGCTCCCTCTTCTTTGCTTCCAAATATGCCCTCCTTTGGAATAATCTTCCGCCTGGAATTAGATTATCGCCTAAGTTACTGGTATTCAAGTCGAAATTACGCAACCATCTTACACCGGAAAGCATAAAGGCACTGTTAACGATCTCATTCCCGAACACTCTGATACTTAACTTCGAGAAGGGTCCTCCTGGGATTTAGTGGTAGATCTAGTGGTAACTCTTAATTATATCATTGGAAACCCCTGTTTTGAATTGGTTTCTAAATCCACTGCTATCACTCCTCCCCATAGCGACAATTTTCGCGGTTTTTGATGTCATCTCCCGCATTCTGACCTCATGCGGTCTGTCGGCGCTCACGGCGGAACCCTCAGTATTTACCGTCTACTAGTAGTTTGGTCGTACCTCCCTTCCCCACTGCTCGGCTGAGCTCGAAGCGTGCTGTGGCCGCTCGCATCTGGGTTCTTCTCGTCTGACCTCTTTGAAGCGAATAGTCTCATGCGGCGTATCAGTCCGGCCCAGACGATGTCAATTGTGAATCCTGTATACAATACCACATGCAGGCCAGTCCTGTCTGACCCGCATACGTACCCCTCAAGGCTGACATTTATTGCTATCCTGACGATGACCGACAACAATCCGTTATATACCGCCACCTACAGGCCAGTTCTGCTCGCTTTTTCTGTCATTATTTTTATTGAGGGTTTTTTTCTCCTGTAATATTAATCCAATCATTTTTAACTTTTTGTACGGAGTTTTTTTTCACCCCTCAATAATCATGTTTCTCAATGGACTACTAATTCAAAAACGATGAACTGCATTTTGTAAAAATTCGGCCTGCCTCGTCTAAAACTCACATGTAAATTTATTTTAACTTGCTTTGATGGGATCCCGACGGGTCTTTAATAAAAAATTATCTATCTATCATGACAAAGGAAACATTTCGCGTTTTCCAGACAAACAGAAACACGATCTCGATGGAGAAAATGTTCTGACTCGGCCTGGCGCTTGAAATCATGTGGTGTGCATGCGCACTCGACCCTTGTCCCAGTACCAACGCGGTATAGAAGGAGAACATGACCGGCCAGTCGGGCTCGAGGGGAGCAACCAATGGCGAGGCGCCGCGATCATGCTGGCAGCATTCTAGACAAAACGCATTTGGGCTTCAGTGATTGGCTGGCTCCTGCTTTTGGGAGTGTAGGTACTCCCAACATCTCCCCTCCAAGTAGGTAATTATCGTTTTTGGCGTGGAATGACCTGACTCGGCAGTGTTGATCAGCGCATGCAGTTTGTCCGGCATTTTAGTCGTGGTTTTTCGTCTGAATACGCGAGGAAGTGACTGATACCGAGGGCGATAAATCCGAAGGGATGCAGCAGTGGGTTCGGGTAACGACTGATCTACCGGCATGGCGAAAGTATCTAGTAAGATGTCAAGAGGGAGTGACAGCACCGAACCAAGCCCGGTTGTGATGGCGAACCCAGATTTCCCCACC